TGAAATCCAATCGGACAATCCAAACAAAGAAATAAAGAGAAAAGGAAAAGGCATCCACATGCATCACCAATGTTGGTCAGATGACTGGGTCAGAAAAATGGCAACCAGCGGTGGACTCGGGGGGTCGGCGACGATAGCCGCCGGAGGCTCAACAAGGGGAGGAACATGGCTAGACTAGGCTCGAAGAAGCCATGGCCAGGGCATGGAATACCGTTGTAGCACTTCCCCTTACAATGTGTGTATAATCAACTATCAAGATTCGATCCAAGGACAACAACTTAGTATAAATTGGCTAGAGAGGATTCCTATATCTTTTAATTAATTAATTAAGTTAAAGGTACAACTCTATTGAATGCTTCGGGCACCGTCCCTCCCCTGGTCTGCCAGGATTAGTTTGGCCTTGAGCTTTATGATGTACCCGATGGTGGAGGAATATGAAGGACGGACAAGGCTATCACCACATGCCGCTTACCTCATTTTCCGTTGAGCACACAACAGACGAAGGTAATTTTTAACCTAGACACCACGCCTAAGTTATTAATTACTACTCTAACCTTGCGCAGGAACTTCTTTCTTTATCCAGAGTTCTAGTAATAGAGCACTTAATTGCACACTAAGCAATGAACCCGCACCGATGAGAATATATCTCAATTAAATAAATTAATTAAAGAACATAAAGAAACTTGAACACTTACTTGAATAAAGAAAGTATCCGCCGAGATATAAGCGAGAGAAGAAGGCCGACAATCCTGGTTTTCTCCGGAACTCCGTTCCAAGAATACTGACACTCCAACACTCCTCCATAAAATTCTCGAAGGAACTCCGATATTTCGAGGCACTCCTTCCGGAGCTTCCCCTCACTCTATACCAAAGTAACATACTAAATATGAAACTACAAGTGAGTTGTGAAAGTGCATCTAGGCCCCTAATGATTTTGGTGATTAATTACAATGCGATTAGAGAGGACTAATATTTTTATTTAAGCAAATGTGAAGGTTGTTATGTCCTCAATAATGAGTTAGCGTAATGCATATCCCGCGGAATACGTTGATGTGATGTGATGCGGCAAATGAGCAAATGGTATTTTGTACGTTTTCGTTTCCTTGAGTTAATAGGAAGGCCGCACTATTAAGAGGGATGATGCATTGACATACGAGGAGTGATCAAAGTGCTCAAAATCTATTTTTAAAAGGTGTTTCTCCTCAGTTTGGTGTGTTCTGGATTTTTTCGGAGTTTTCCGAAACTCATTTTCGGACTTTCCGAAAACACACAGAACCAGATTGTCGCTTCTGGAAATTTTCGGATATGTCCGAAAGTGATTTTCAGACTTTCCGAAAAAGACTGCGAAGGCAAAAGTGGTTCTGTATATTTTCGGACTTGTCCGAAACTGATTTTCGGATTTTCCGAAAATCATCAGTAGAGTCAATTTCGCTTCTGTATATTTTCGGACTTGTCCGAAAGTTATTTTCGGACTTTTCTGAGAACATCCAGAACGATGTTGTTGGTACTAGAAATTTTCGGACTTGTCCGAAAAGTTTTCGGAATGTCTGAAAAATCCTTCGTTGACTTTGCTGTTGGTGCTGAGCTGGAATTTTCGGACATGTCCGAAAATCTCAATTATTGTGCATAACGGGCAGAATCTGGGCTGTGGCTATAAATAGCCCCCTCCCCTCACTTGTGAGGGCTGCTGGTTCCATTCCAATCATTTGTGCCCTTGGCTTGCTCTCTCTCTAGCACTTTTGTGCCTTGCTTTCTTGTTTCCCCTCTCACCCGTGTTCGATTTGGATTTGGTGTGTGTGTGAGAGTTGTGGATTTGAGTTTGTGTGAGTGCTTGTTGTTGACTTCATGAAGATTTGTGAGCACTTGCATCATCTCCGGGAGTTCTTTGCTTCATTTGTTACTCTTGGAGGTTGAGAACTCCTAGGCGGCTAGGTGTCGCTCCCGAGCCACCGATCTACTTGTGGTTGGCCGGGAGAAGTTTGTGAAGGTCAGATCTCACCTCTGAAAGGGAAGAGATACCCTTAGTGGAAGGAGGAGTGCTTAGTGCAACCTCTTGAGGAAAGGGTTAGCTAAGACCCGGCTCTTAGTGAGCTCCTCAACGGAGAGTAGAATCCCCTCAAGAATTCGAACTTCGGGAACAACCTCGTGAGCTTCATCTTTGGTGACTTTACTTCCTCCCTCTCCTCTAGCTTTGCTTGTTTGAGCCGCTATAGGTCTAGTTGCTGTTTGTGCTAGCATATTCTTGTTGTAGGCAACTAGATCTAGGATTTACTTTCCTGTTTGTGCTGACTCCGAAAATTTTCGGATATATCCGAAAATTTCGGAAATATCCGAAAATTACTGCTTCTGCTTTTAGTTGATTTTTGAATTAGCCTATTCACCCCCATCTAGGCTTAATTAACACTTTCAAGTTGTACTCTACTTGAGCTTAAAGTTGTGTGTTGAGAAGTGTGGAAGCCTCCTCTTTTTATAGCTTGAGAATGGCGGTTGTAAGGCAGTTGTGGAGGTTGGTGTGCTTGTAACCATCATTGGGAAGCCATCACAGATGTCCACGTGTAAGGTGGCGATGAGAGGAGCCACGGGTGGTTTGGTCGAACCAAGGGTTCGGCCGACCCATGGGCCCCACCTCTCGCCACCGCCTTTCACCAGAGGCTACCAGCAAGTGGGCTCCTAAGGCGGTACACAGATGTTTGGCCCCATATTAAGTCGGTTTAAGCTGACTTGTGGGCACATCAATCCGTGTGCCTGCACTTGATTCGTCGGAGGTCCATTATATTTACCAAAACTAGTGAAAATGATTAGTGGTAAACTCCTGTCACTAAATTTTGATAATGTATTGCTGATATCTTTTATACAGTAGTTGACGGTTAAAGTTTATGCTTAATGACTGCCAACAACCACCTACCATGCCCTCAGCCACCGTCTCCCATCGCCACGTAGGTGACCGTCGACGAGGGAACTCACCGCTGCCACGTCTCCACGGTGACTATATCTATGCGTCATGCCTCGTCAGATCCGCACTTATGCAACCTTTCTCCACATAGCAGCCTCTCTGTCACTCAGCCCTCCTGCCCGAGGTGGAAACCACACCCGCACGGCCGCACCGGCTCCCCACCTCGCCTCGTCGTCCCACCTGACACCCGCCTTCCGCCGCCACTGCGTCCTTGCATGATGACATCCTCGCTAGATCCAACAGCTTTCAGATATCATGGTACGTAGTAATTCTTTTTCGTATAGTTGAAAAATATATTATCCATTATTTAGCCTTCAGATAAACAAAAGAACGTTGTTCATGGTTTAGCGGTTGGTCAAATGGTCAAAACAGGGCTGCAGAGCTACGCCTACGCTTGAGCACCGAAGTGTTTTTGGGTTGCAGACACTTGTGCAACCACCCCGGGAAAGCTGGGATGGGCAACCAGCTATTCTTGGCACACTCTCCACAATCTCTTCAATTTTGTATTAAAAGAGGTGGGCCAAGAGACACACCTTTCAAAATTTGAAAGTATCAAACCTCAATTCAAATTTCAAAAGGAACATAAATTTTCTATACCGGTGCAATTGCATATTTTGCTTAGTACATGCAAATGCAATGTTAAATTGATTGTCTTGTTTCCCCGAAAAAAAAAAACGATTGTCTTGTTAGAGCAAGTTTAATAGCCCGCTAGCTCTAAAAATTGAGATATTATATAGAGCTAATCTAGTAGTTTACACATATAATAGTTTCATATATAAATATGTAGTACACCATTAATACTGGTCTCACCTCTTATACATACTTTCTTATAGTCCGTGTTGCACTTGACTATAAATATGCACTCCCTATCCTAAAATGCTTTGTATTTTAGGATGGAGGTAGTATCTTCTTTTATTCTCTCTCCTCTCCTCCTTTCCTTCATATGTGCTTGTAGCTACCTTATAATTTTCTATTGTACTTGCTCTTAGATGTATATAAAAACATGCACGTGAAAATTTGATTTACTAGAAAGAGAAAAAACAACAAAATTTGACACTACATAATGCGATTTGTTATTTTTTTCTTCAAGTGTTGATCAAATTTGTAATTGCATTTTTGGACTAATTAATTTATATTAATGTATCTTATAAAAAAATTATACTATATTTAACTATTTATACATATGCATACCGGTATGACGCTACGGGAAGACCTATTAAGGCTGTGTTTGCTAGAAGAAGTTCCCATTCAGAATCGTGATCACGGAAAACGGAGCGGTCCATTAGCACGTGATTAATTAAGTATTTGCTGATTTTTTTTGAAAAATAGATTAATTTGATTCTTTTAAGCAACTTTCGTATAGAAACTTTTTGCAAAAAACATACCGTTTAGCAGTTTGAAAAACGTGCGTATGGAAAACGAGAGAGAGGTTGAGAAAAGGGGCATCCGAACACAGCCTAAAAGTGCTTTCTACCATTCAAAATAATAAATAAAGTACCTTTAATATTTATTTGCTGAAAACAATACCTTTGAATTGACATTTAAATTTTTATAATTTTGTTACTATAAAGTACATAAATAATTATAATCCGAAGTCGAAAGAAATCGGCCAGGTAAAGCTAAAATAAGTAAGTATCCAGACAAATGTTGATCGTTACGGAAATTAAACATTATAAAAATTGAACATATTTTTACCGGTACTTTGGTACGTCATCCGTATTTAAGTCAGTTTTTAGTTCATTCGCTAAAGCGTGTTTGAATCGGTTTTTAAGTTTATTCACTTTTAGAAATTTAGAAGGAGACATATAAGAAATCTCTTTTAAAAAAACTCGCACATGCTACCTTGAGATGATTAGACTCTTAATTGCAGCTCATGATTTTATAAAAAAAAAATCCAAGTAAATTCCTACCGTGAATTTCACCTTATCTAAACCGTATAATAATAATAAGATTAAAATAGTCTTCACTCTCGCAACGCATGAGCAATTTTTTCTAGTCAATTCAAATATTCAATTTCTTTTTTTGTTTAGTCTTTCGGAAGGTCAAAATGCACACGCGCACGGCTCGGCCAGCCAGGCAGAAACAAAATTCAGCCATGACGACGGCCATGGCGTCCTCCTCCTCGCGTGGCGTCACCGTCCCCTTCCTGATGATCTTGCCGCTCCTCTTCGTAGTCGCCGCTCTTCCGGCCGAGGTCACCGTCACCGGCGACGGCATCCTGCTGCCGTCGTGCAAGACCGTCGGCGGCGGGAGCACCTACTTCGACGTCCAGTTCTGCCTCGACGCCCTGGGCTCCGTCGGCGCCGGCGCCGGCGCCCGGAGCTACCGGGACCTCGCCGCCGTCGCCGTCGGCCTCCTCACGGCCAACGCCACCAGCACGTCGGTCAAGATCGACGCCCTGCTCCGCGGCGGCGGAGGCGGCGGGAAGGTGGACGCCGCCACGGCGCGGTGCCTGCGGTCGTGCCGGGCGCTGTACGCCGGCATCGCGCGGAGGCAGCCCGGCTGCGCCGCGGCGGTGAGGGGCGGCAGGCTCGGCGAGGCGAGGTCGTCGCTGGAGGAGTCGGCGGCCGCGGCGAGGCGGTGCGAGGACGGGTTCCGCGGGGGCAACGCGACGTCGCCGGTGACGGCGGAGGACGACGCCGCCTTCAAGCTCGCCAAGCTTGGCGTGGCGCTGCTTGGTTTTGCTTGACAAAATTACAGCTCGTGTGTACTGTTACTACTAGTGCTATGCCGTGATGTTCTAAATGAAATTAATAACAAATCAGAGTGTTGTCTATATTTTGATCGTTTCATGCAGAAAATTTCAAACGCGAGTATCTCTCTAACTGAATAAACTGGTACAATCAAAAGGTTGTTGGAATCCTCACTTAGTATAAGTTAGTATAACTTATAACCCACTAAATTCTAAAGCTTAACATGCAAAGATGTCGCATCATCACCCACTATCATCCAATAACAATTATTATATTTAAGCATTATGAAAGCATGCTATATTATCCATAATTTTATAATTTATTAAATTTTAGAAATTAAAATGCAAACACGTTAAATCATCCCCACATAATTCACATATATCTCTCCATTATTTTTTATAATATCCTACTCCATCCGTTTCAAAATGTTTGATGGCGTTGACTTTTTATCACATGTTTGACCATTCGTCTTATTCAAAAAATTTAAGTAATTATTAATTCTTTTCCTATCATTTGATTCATTGTTAAATATATTTTTATGTAGGCATATAATTTTACATATCTCACAAAAGTTTTTGAATAAGACGAAATGTCAAACATGTGCTAAAAAGTCAACGGTGTCAAACATTTCGAAATGGAGGGAGTATATAGGTATACCTATATGGCTATATAAGTTCATCCTCACTTCATTAATGTTATCTCTGTTTTCTCTCATTAAGCCATATCAACTCAATTTTTATTATTTTTTATAATATCCTATATAGGTATACATATATGGCTATATAAGTTCATCCTCACTTCATTAATGTTATCTCTGTTTTCTCTCGTTAAGCCATATCAACTCAATTTTTTAACCCTTAGATATATGATCTAAATTATCTTCCTTCTTTTGTTCTCTGGCCAAATCATCTTACTTTTAAATTTGAATAATCATTCTATATACTACTTAAATTTAAATCACTTCAACATATATAAGCTTATGTTATTTAATCTACGTTACATACTATTATTTTTATCTTTTGTTATCACAATAACTCCTGTAGCAATACGCGGGTTTTATCTAGTTGTCCTAACAGGCGGAGCCGCGGAGGGGTTGGCGTTAGAATAATTTCCTGGCTGTTACGTTAATAGGCCAAAAAATAAGGCGATCAAGAGTTGTATTACAGGAGCATGGATGCATGTATTTGTAGACCGGCTGCCTGCTTATTTTCCACTCCCTCCGTATTTTAATATATAACGCTGTTGAATTTTTAACAAACATTTGACCTTTCGTCTTATTCAAAAAATAAAAATTATGTAATTATCGTTTATTTTATTGTGACTTGATTTATCATCAAATGTTCTTTAAGCATGACATAAGTATTTTTGTATTTGCATAAAAAATTTAAATAAAACGAATGATCAAACGTTGGTTAAAAAGTCAACGGTGTCATACATTAAAATTAAAATACGGAGGGAGTACTATGATTTAGAAGTTAGAACACGAATCCAACACGTCATGTTTGCCTATACAAATACAAGGCCAGGTTTCAAAACAGTGTACACACCAATCCACTGTTAGTAGCTGAAGAAATTAGATCTGCCTATTGTTTCGGAAGATCAAAACATAGCTCTTGCTTTCAAGTGGTGACTGGTACGCTTCAGTTTTCGTATCTAAAGTTTATAGAATTGTTTTTATGGTGTTTTGTTCTTACTTGAGGTCCCTTTAATTCCAACAAACTCATAATATTATTTCTTTTCTGAAAATTGATATTCATGGATCATTTTTAGTGAATTAGGCAAAATGAATTTTAAAATCACACTGTTCTTATGTGAGAAACACAATACAAACCCAAACAATACAAACCCAAAGACTCACATACACAGACGCACGTACACTCACCTATGTGAACACGCACACATGAACATCCTATTTTTACAAGTATCTCGGCAAGATTAGGCCGTCATATGTTGATATTGACGAAATCACATCGTTATCAACGGCACATAGTCTTAACACTAAAAAAATGATTAGCCGTAAACTTGAGCATCTGTTTGATCCAGTAAACAAGTTTCACCACAAAAACAAACTAACCAGAAAAGCTACACCAACTTCGCAAAATCACACCGTTTGGATCACATGGAGTGGGGTTCGTGCAAATGAATTTTGTGTTTGTGTAGCTAAGTTGTATCCTTGGTCTACTCCCTCCGTCCCAAAAAAGACAAGATGCGACACATTATAGACGTCCAGATTCGTTGTACTATGATGTGTCACATCGTAGTACAAGGTTGATTTTTTTTATGGAGGGAGTATCTGACTATCTGGCAGCTGAAATACCAGCCCATTTTTCTCTCTAAAAAAAGAAAAAGAAATACCAAACCAATATACCTTTAAAAGAAAGGAAAAAGTACACCGAAGGTCCCTCAACTTGTCATCGAGTTACAACATTGTCCCCCAACCACAAAAATAGATATATAACATCCCTCGATTTATAAAAACCGTTCATGTTAGGTCCTTCGGTGGTTTTACCCCGATTTTGTCCTATATGGTTGCTGAATCAGCAAGGAACCCACGTGGGCCCTACATGTCAGGATGCCACATCAACACCCTCCCTCTTCCCCCTCCTCTTCCTTCCTCCTCTCTCTCACTCTTCTCTTCTCTTCTTTAGGTAAGCCGGCCGACGCTGCTGGGAGGAGGCCATTGGGGTGAGGCGGGAGAGGAGGCGATGGCGGGCGACGAGGCGGCGGCGGCTACGACACGGGAGAAGGCAAGGGCGGCGCCCGGTCGTGAATGGCGTTGATGGTGCTGTGTCGTCGGTGGCGGCGAAGCGATCCCGCGCGGGCGGGTGCCGCGACGTTGGGCGATGAGGAGAACGGCGGAGCAGGCGGGCGAAGCGAGGCAAGGCGGGTGGAGTGGGGCGATGTCGCGGGTGGGAGAAGCAGTGCAACGGCGGGCGGAAGGGCGACATGTCGAAAGCCGGTGGGACAGTGGCGGGGGGAGTGGGGCAACAGCAGGAGCGGGGCGGCAACGGGCGGAAAGGTAGCAATCCGCCGTCGGCCATGGCGCGAACACCGTCGAGGTCGAAGGGCGGTGCAGAGGATGGCAGAGATGGGGGCGAGGGTCGCAATGGTGAGGTGTGCGCCCTCCTAATCCTCGAAACTGTCGTCGTCATCTGGCGGCTTGTTACCGCGGGCTGGGGCTAGCAGGCAGTCTCGGGCGGACGAGGAGCGGAGGGCCGCGCTGCCGTGGGCGGTTCACGGTCATGGGCTGCGTCATGTCGGTGGCGTCGGGCGCCGCGTGCGGGGTGTGTGGGGGAGTGCGGCGTGCGTGTGTTTGTTGCATCAACGGCGGAGGTGGAGGTGGAGGGGTGAGGTGCGGGATCGCGGTGACGCCGCTGCTGCCGGTGGCAGCTCCTCCCTCGCTAGCCACCGCCCTTGCCCGCCGTACTCATCTGCTCTCTGCCAGCCGCCCGTGGAGAGGGGAGGAGAGAGGAAGAGAGGTGGTGAGGGGAGGGGAAGAAGAGGCTGATATGTGGGACCCATGTGGATCCCACGTTGAGTCAGCTGCCACATCGGACAAAACCGCTAAGTGACCTAGTTAGCACTGGTTTTATAAGTTGAGGAACGCGTTGTATCTGGTTTTGCGGTTCAAGGACGATTTTGTAATTCGACGACAAGTTGAGGGACCTTTGGTGTACTTGTTCGTAAAAGAAAAGAAACACCGGCCCAGTATTGATAAGAAGCCCAGACGGACCAACAGGCCAAGCCCATCTTATCCCAAGAAAAAAAAGGGGAAAAATTACTCCTTTCTAAGCGAAGGCCTAGGCTAAAGAACAGAGAAGAGACCTGCTCTTGCGATCCTTCTCACTCTCTTCCTCCCCGAGTCGACGGCCGGCCACCGACTTGGGGGAAACCAAGCCACCGCCGCCGCAGCCGCCGTACCCCACCCTCCCTCCCGGCGGCCGCGGGCCATAGCCGCGTTCTCCCCCGCGCGTCTGCCTGCGGCGTGGAGGCGTGGGGGGCGACGGCGATGGGGTCCATGACGATCGGCGCCAAGTACAAGACCACGCTCAAGGACCCCGGCACCACCGGCGTCCTGCGCATGGTGCGTCGCGATCCCCCCTCTGTTCCTCCCTCCCTCTCTCTCTCCCGCATAGCGTCGCCTCTCTCCCTCCAGCTCCGATTGGTCGGGTTTAACCCTTGCGGCCGTGCCCTACTGGATACACACTCCGCGGGAGGTGCGGTGGGTGTGCTGATTCTGTGGAGGGATGTCGCTTGACGGGAGGGTTTTGATCGGGTGTTGGTCGCGGTAGTGTTTGATTGGGTATGCTAGGGCTTCTGATGCTTTCGGAGGGGTTTGTGGTGGAAAGGAATCGAACCGATCTGCGGTAGTCGGATGTATAAGAGGGATGAGCTTCTGGAGACATTGGTTTAGCTAGCTTGGTGGTTAGTTATTTATGTTGGGTTCATGTAGTGGAGCGTTTTGTGCCTAGTTTCTGTGGATCAGATGCAATGAGTTGCATATCTGTTTGATTCGCTGATGAGTTTTGCGTAGTTGCGTTGTAAATTTTGCTTGAGTATTTCTACCTGCTTAATTTCATGCACAGCTTGCTGGGTCTAAATGGCATCTATCGTTTGATACTTTTAATTGTAGAACGAGGATAAGTTCACCTTCACTCCCCATGATCCACGGTCAGCGATGAAGCTCAATGTTGATTTCCGGAGCATCAAAGGTAATTTCATTTGGTCTATTTATAGTTGGGTACAGTGGGAGTACTATGACCGTCCCAGTGGTTTAGTAAATAACAAACTGACCAATTCGTGATTGCCATTTGTCAGACCAGGCTCCATATTTCTTATATCTGATTCCTTTTGTGGATAATTTGAAATATGTTTTCTGCAAAGGCATTAATTAACGGGAAATCAAGATAATATATAGCTATTCTAAGGTAGACCATGCATAGTAAAACAGATGGATTGATTTGATGCTTGTGACCAACTTGTCTGATGTCAACTTTGTACTTTCTGTGCACATGCACTTCTGATTCAGGCCACAAGTTCAACAAAGTAGATGGTAGCAAACCAGCTCCACCATTACTGAATCTT